AATATGTGGCTGGATTTTGATGTGAGAGACAACAGCAGATGCACTTTTTCACTGGAGGAAGAGTTATTATGGATTATGGACTCAATGTATTTTAGTTAAAAACGTCTTAATGCTGGATTTGTTTCAGATTTTCTTGTTTCTTGTCTTCTTTCTTGTTTTGTGCAGCGAGAGAGCATGATGCAATATAATTCTGTGTTGTCTGTTTATCAACTTTTCATTATTTTGCGTCGCAGTCTTTCATCGCATACACTTCCAATTTATAAAATTGCTAAAACGTGTATCTTGAATGCAATGCAATTCGCAAAATGTAGATTCAGTAGCGCTGCTGGAAGCTGCTGTGTTTGGCTACACATCAGACGCTCGAGAACCTTTAATGGAACCAAACGTCATGAGAATGATTCGTTGTTTTGAATGAAACGCAGCTGCTTCTCTGCACACTGACCTCTGTGTTAAACAGCACTAGTCCAATTAATAATCAGTCCAACAGTAATGAATCCAATTAGTGGTTACAATGAGTGGAATGGATTCTTATTACGCTGTGACTGGAGAAATAATTGTTCTGTGGGATTCATTCGATGTGCATGAGACAAACGGCGCACAACACTCATCAAATACAGCAGATTCCCACAGAGAATCACTTAAAATCACAACGGCCATGTGAGGTTTTACTGTACATCTGCTGTGTGTGAATAACTCCATGAATCCTGGTTTTAAATCAAAGGCATTTATTGCTAAAATGTACTTGACAAACAACAGAAACAAACCACATTATCATCATAATCAGTATAAGACAATGTGTAAATGAAAACAATGTCAAATTCCAGAGAACAAGTGCTTGAGGAAATATTCCCCAACATCTCCACTCTAGCACCAATAGCATATAAATATGTCATCATATAGAGCTTCTTCGTTCAATGCAGTCAATGTACGAACAGTTCATGCTGAAACACGTTCACGTGAATCATTCTGCCATTATTTATGATGCTATTTTTAGCACAAAAACAAGATTTGCACGGCAGAAATCCTCCTTTTTGTGTTCGCCTGTAAAAATAACATCACAACGTGAGTAAATAATGACAGAATGATCATCTGAGGATGAATTATTCCTCTATTCAGAAGCAGGAATCAACGTCCATCATCTCATCTCCAACATGGAGACCAACGTGTGCTTGTCTTTTGGCGAGCAAAATGGCACTTGTGCCGAAACTCCAAGTGAGAAAAAACGGCACCGTGATCAAATCCATAATGATTTGATAAAAGAGCACGACATACAGACCATGAGATTAAAAACACTGTAGGAATCCATCCAAAGAAATAAAAACGAAGCCAGGAGTCACTGGTGGATGAATCATCTTGTGCTTATGAAGAACCAGCATCCAAGAACATTGACTTCAATGCTGAATCATGTGGAAACAATCCATGTGCTCATGACTCAATCATCCGTAACCTCCACGGATCCAGAAATGTGTCTCGCTGACCATCATCAGCGCCTTCAGACGCTTCTTTTGTGCTTCAGCCTGCAGTGTAACGGGCCGTTTACTATGGAAGCCTGTTTCTGCCACTCGATAAAAAATATAAAAGGTAACTGACTTTTTATTTCATAATTCTGACTTTTTTCTCACAATTGCAAGATATAAACTCACAATTGCGAGAAAAATAGTTTGAATTGAGATGTAAACGCAATTGCGAGAAAAATAGTTTGAATTGAGATGTAAACGCAATTGCGAGAAAATGAGTTTGAATTGAGATGTAAACGCAATTGCGAGAAAAATATTTTGAATTGAGATGTAAACGCAATTGCGAGAAAAATAGTTTGAATTGTGAGATATAAACTCACAAATGCGAGAAAAATAGTTTGAATTGAGATGTAAACGCAATTGCGAGAAAAATAGTTTGAATTGAGATGTAAACGCAATTGTGAGAAAAATAGTTTGAATTGAGATGTAAATGCAATTGCGAGAAAAATAGTTTGAATTGTGAGATATAAACTCGCAATTACGAGAAAAATGTCAGAATTGTGCGAAAATCAGAATTGCAATATGTAAATCCACAATTGCAAGAAAAATGTCAGAATTGTGAGAAAAAAGTCAGAAGTGGGAAAATTGGAATTGTGAGATATAAACTCGCAATTGTGAGAAAAATAGTCAGAATTGTGAGAAAAAAGTCAGAATTGTGAGAAAATCTGAATTGAGATATAAATTCGCAATTGCGAGAAAAATAGTCAGAATTGTGAGATATAAACTTACAGTTGCGACAAAAATGTCCGAATTGTGAGAAAAAAGTCAAAATTGTGAGAAAAAAGTGAGAACTGTGGGAAAATCTGAATTGTGAGATATAAATTCACAATTGCGAGAAAAATGTCCGAATTGTGAGAAAAAAGTCAGAATCACAAGATAAAAAGTTGCAATTAGCTTTTTTTATTTTTTATTCAGTGGCCGAAATGGGCTTCCATAGTTTCCACAGGACACGTGCGTGTGTTAAAAACAGCTGCACGCTTGAACGTTTCCTACGGCGGAATGCAATGCAACGGCGTCAGTCTAGAGCGTTTGCACATCGACTAACAATTAAGAACAGTGCAAACAGAACTAGAACACGTCCTGTGAGCGGACGTCTCCGGACTGATTTTACACACAAGAACACGCCGGCAGACATGCATCAAGAGTGACAGCGTATTTAATTTGACACCAATGAAAAATTTCACTTAAAACTAGATTTAAAAAATGATGTTGGCAGAGAAAGCTTCTGAGAGTTTGAAGCAGTTGTAAAAGAGGCTGTCATTCTAATGAATTTACATCTTCATCACTTCCTGTTTTCTGTATTTTTTTTTTTCAAAATGGCATTTTAATGTTTTGTTGGCTGAACAGCAACCACACAAAAGAGCAACTCATATCATATCATTTCGCGTAATCTGATGAAGTGAAACGTGTGGTCTGCTCGGTGTTGTTGTGAGTTTGTGCTTCAGACGCCGCTGTGATGCTGGTCGGTTGTTGAATCGGTTCTGAGCGTCTCGATAAAAATAAACATGTGCTGTTTCATCAGAACTCCTCTAATGTAGAGCAGCGGCTGACGGAGATCAGTCCTCATGATGGACATTCAGATGATGCTCAACAGCCTGAAACAAACTCTACACAAGTACAGGAACAAACGCATTCCAGTTACACCAGGGATATTACTATTTACTAATTATTTATGTTGTATTATTAATGTTTTGAATCAGCATTTATTTTTTATATTTCAGTTTTCATTTTCCTTTTAGTTATTTGCATTTGTGATTTTTATTAGATTTTTGTTCTTTTTAAATAAAACTTTTTTTTTTTCCAATTTTAGTTTTTATTTCCAGTAATTTTAGTGCTTCAGCTGCGAACATATTTCAGTTAGCTGCCAATGCAACATTTCTAACATTTCTAATATTTATATTTGACTTTAGTTTAGCTTTAAAGTCACCGATAATCGATAACCGATAATAACCGATATTTTTTTTTTTTGGGGGGGGGAATACTGCAGAGTTTATTATAAATTATTTATCTGTACACATTATTAATTTTTTACAATTTGACAATGATCCAATCAATTCCCGACAGACCCAATTAAACCCCGCCCTACATTTTTTTTTCTTGTTCAAGACGCCATTTCACTCATATTGGAGAATAGAAGAAAAGACAATTGCAACTTCAATTTCATGCCGACTTTACCAAAAATGTTTTTTATATTTTAGATTTAGTTAACGATAATAACCCTGGTGTGAAACGTCAGTTTTCTCTTTCAGATCATAAAAGAGCACCAGTTCTGAGTGAGTTATAGTGAAAGTGTTATATCTGAATAATAACACATCTGCTTTAATGGCTCAGAGATCTGAAGGAAAGATCCTCAGTAACAGAGGATCACATTAAATATGTTCGACAGGAACACACGCCTGAAACACGCTGGCCGAACGCGTTTGCGTACTCGTGTAAAGTCTGTTTCTGGCACACTGAGCACATGGAAAATTCACGAATCAAAGTGAAAATAGTTGATAAAACTGGAGTGTCTCTGGAGCTCGACACCAGCAGATACAAAGATCAAACCTCCACAGCGACACTCGGTAAACAAGACACAAATAATGTCAGTAAACCAGCATGCACATCCCATGATGCTCTAGGAAAGACAGAACCGGCGTAGAAAACCAATAAAACGAGTTTGTGCTTTCACTGTAAACAAACTTTCATTACAAACCGCAGAGTGAGCCAATCTCAGTAAAACGTGTCCGGGTCATATTTCAGTCCAAAATTAAAAGAAAGAAACATTAAACATACTACCAATCAAAAGTTTGGAATAAGTAATATTTTTAATGTCCAAGGCTGCATTTATTTGATCAAGAATACTGTAAAAATGGTAATACTGTGACTTATTACGATTTAAAAATGGATCAAATATTTTTCGTATTTTAAAATATTTTAAATTGTAATTTATTTCTGTGATCAAAGCTGAATTTTCAGCATCAATACTCCTGTCTTCAGTGTCACATGATCTTCAGAAATCATACTTTAAATTTTTTTTTTTTTTTAAATGAAGCCTTGGTGAGCATTATATATATATATATGTATAAAATTTAAATTTGATACCTATATCTATCTATCTATAAAATTATAATTATTTTTATTATATATATATATATATATATATATTCAAAATTATATATAATTTAATAATATATATATATATATATTTTAATTATAGTATTATTGTGACATTATTTTCACAATTAAACAAATTTAACATATTTCCTGTAATGCATTATTTTTTATTTGAATGAGCATAAACACACGACTATACTAATACTAACATGCTTCATTAATATTTTACGATTTAAATAATATATCTTTTTTATTTTATTTTTGCATTATAATAATGAGAATCTAGCGGGAAAATAATCCAAAACGATGTAAAAAAAAATAAAAAAATCCTAATGGTCCTGAAAAAATAGGCTTTAATTGCTTTATGCTTTATTTATTTGTATTTTAGTTTTAATAATTTTTTTCTCTTGATTTTGGCGTGAGATATGACGCTCTTGCCAGGTTTCGTGAGATTCATCACTCCTACATTCACATCTTATCATGTGCTATAATATATCACATCCTCGTTGTGTCGTCATCATTCCGATTAAAGTACCGAAGGAACACTGAACCGCTTCGAAGGAGCAGCTGTAGGAATCATTTCTCAAGCTCTCAGAGCTTCTCTCAGAATCTGAGGGAGCGTCAGGAGGACACGTCACGCCATGCACACGCAGCAGAGGGCGCCGCAGACTCACACGCAGATGAAGGCACCATCAGTCACGTGAAAGGCCTTCCTGACGGATCTGTGAGGGCAGTAAAGATGCTCGTCTTCATCAGGAGACCCGGGGAGATTCTTCTGGACATCCTCCAGGTCTCAGGAGCTTGTTGCTCTTCTAGAAGCTCTCCACGAAGCTGCCGGGGAAGAGGCCCGTTCGTCCGGTGCGCTGAAGCGTCCCTTTGTACCAGCCGTCTTCACGTTTCTTGTGCACGAAGACGATGTCGCCCTCCTTCAGCTCGATCTCGGCTTCGCTCTGCGGCGGATACGGGACGAGCACGCGGTACCTGACACACACAGACATGAACAGCAGACGCTCAACAGATGATAACAGGTGAAACATTCACACACGACAAACCTTCCAAACCAAAACCATAATAATCTAAAAATAAAGTAAAAATTAAGGGTTTGAAATGACACGAGTAAATGTTGAGAAAATGTTGCTGAAAACTGACATAAAATTTTAACAATATTTATTGCATGAAAAACTCAAATTAGAATTTTTCAAAGAATATACTTCAATAATAAAAGTTTGGAATAATTCAGATTTTTTTTTTTAATGTTTTTGAAAAACTTTTCTTATGCTCACTAGGTCTGCATTTGTTTTATCAAAAAATACTGTATCAATTTTTAAATATCATTACAGTTTAAAATAAGTGAATATGTGTTAAACTGTAATGTATTTCTGTGATGCGCAGCTGTATTTTCAGCATCATTACTCCAGTCTTCAGTGTCACATGATCTTCAGAAATCAGTATAATATGCTGATTTGCTGCTCGAGAAACATTTTTGTGGAAAGAGTAATACACTAATTTGGGGAAATGTAAGATTAAAAAATAAAAAATGTATGCTTTTATTCATCAAGGCCGCATTAAATTGATGAAAGGTGACAGTAAAGACATTTATAATGTTCCAAAAGATTTCTATCTCAAATAAATTCTGTTCTTCTGAACTTTCTGTTCATCTGTGAATCCTGAAAAATAAAATGCATCACAGTTTCCACAAAAATATTGTGCAGCACGACTGTTTTCAACATTGATAATAATCAGAAATGTTTCTTGAGCAGCAAATCAGAATATTATTATGATTTCTGAAGATCATGTGACACTGAAGACTGGAGTAATGATGCTGAAAATACAGCTTTGATCACAGAAATAAATTACAGCTTAACAGAGATTCACATAGAAAACGGTTGTTTTGCATTATAATAATATTTCACAATTTTACAGTATTTTTTATCAAATAGAATAGACTTATTTCATTAATAAAAAAAATCAAATTATTCCAAAACTTTGACTGGTAGTGTATAAATATGAAATATCTTCAAAATTTGAATGATAACATGTTAACAATTTCAATACTAGTAAACACACCAGATCAGTCCACAAGAGGGCGCCAGAACAACAGCACCATATTGCAAAGTATTGTTCAAAAACAAACCTGCTGCTTCAAGTGCACTTATTTTTAAACTAAAATGCACAAAATTGCAAAAATGTAACTTTTTGCATTTTTGTCATTTTTTCCAGTGCTTGCTACACATCTTAACTTCATGCATTCAAATGTTCATTGTGATCTTAAATTCGCTGAATATTTCAGTTGTAATTGTAATTTAGACTCACCTCTCTCGGGATAAAGGCTTGGGTTCGGGCCGGATGGCCAGCGGTGAGGAGGAGCAGGGCTGTCGCGCCGGCGGAGACACAGAGAAGCTCAGGTCCAGCGAGCCGCTCTTCCTCTGCAGCGGCTCCATGCTCATGGCTCCCTGCATCTCGCTCTCGATGGGGCAGGAGCCGGCTCGTCCGTGACCCCCGGCCGACCGCAGCTCCGGGGCCATGGCCCCCTGAACCGAGCAGGACGAGGAGGACGAGGAGGACTCGTGGGTCGGAGAGACAGACGGTGGAGACCGGGACTTCTTCTTAGCTGAGAGAAGCTTGAGAAGCTTGAGGAGGCCGCTGC